CTTGAATGCCCTGATCCCTCATCCCCCTGGCTGTGGGCAGCTCCTGCAGGCTCAGTGTGTCTGTGCACGTCCCCTGTCCGAGGGGTCACGGTGTGGCTGTCCCCCTGCCCTGTGTCCGTCCCCACAGAGCCACAAGAGCCTGGGGCAGAAATAGACCCACCTGGAGCACACGAGAACCTGCAGGATGAGGTGGCCTTCCATGGAGGGGGACCTGGCAGGGAAACTGGAGCCCCTGGGCAACCCCTTCCTTGGCTGCCCTGGGCTGGGACCACGCTGTCCCCAGAAATGCCAGGACATGCCCACGTGCCCACCCTCTCCTCCAGGCTGTGAGGATCCTCCAGGTGTACACCCCAGCCTTGGGGCTGGAGGAGCCCATCAGCCCCCGCTGCCCCAGCAGCGTGCAGGTGAGCGGGGCCTGGGGGGCTGCCCTGCATGGACACCCCCACGCTGGGGCAGTCCCCAGCTGACCCCTGTCCCCACAGGACCGTGTGGCTGCAGGACCTGTACGGGGAGGAGCCCAAGCAGCTCCTGGTGGACACCAGCCACATCTTCCTCGTGCAGCTGCCCTCCACTGCCTCCCTGCTGCACCTGGCTGAGCTCCACATCCCTGAGACCCTCAGCCTGGCCTTCCTTGGCTGCCTCTGAGCCTGGGGCTGCCCCTGGACTGCTGCCAGTCTCCCATTTCGAGGTATCTGAACCCTCTGAAGTTTGGGAAGGCCATGAGGGTGGAGGTCCAGCACCTTTTGAGTTTTCACTAGGTTGTTTGGCCACCTTTTAATCCATTGGAGCTAATAAAAGTCTTTGCATGGAACTCTGGCCTTGAGGCTGTTTGCAGGCTGCTGGGAGGGAGTTTAAGGAGGGAGGGAGGTGTGAGGGAGCTCTTTAGCCCTACAGAAGGGGTGGTCAGCAGGCTTAGAACAGATTTATCTGCTTCCTGTCAAGACAGGGAGGATTTATTTGAATGACCTGGCTTAGCTGATGACATGCAGACTTTAACTCCTCAGCCTGTTAGGGTTAGGAGTGTTGGCAGGAGTCACCAGCTGGAACAGGAGCATTTCTAGAAAGGTTTGGTGCAGTTAATCACAGCTGGGCTTCTCTTGAGAAGAAGTAAAGAATTGTACATTCCTATCTGAACCACCTGTGCAGTTCCAGTTAAACTCTCCTAAGGAATTCCTCTGAGGAATTGCAGTATCTCCTGAAGCCAAGCTTCCCCTTTCCTCACAAACAGGATCTATTGCAGGAGTAGATGAACTAATCCCATGAAAATGCTGTGTCCTGGTCTTGAGTTACAATGGCTTTGGGAGCCTTAGGACTGAGAGGTGCATGAAGGTGGAAGGATGAAGTGTCATGACAGTCAGGGCTCAGAGGGACTTGAATTTAAATTCAAGAACCCAAGTATTTTCCACTCTGGGACTGAGGTGTGATTTGATGGTAGGAAGATGGACCAGCAATAGCCAATCCTGCCCTCTGGCAGTGGGAGCCATTCCCTGTGTCCTGTCCCTCCAGGCCTTGTCCCCAGTCCCTCTCCAGCTCTCCTGGAGCCCCTTGAGGCCCTGCAAGGGGCTCTGAGCTCTCCCTGGAGCCTTCTCTTCTCCAGACTTAAAGGATTTTGGTGACACCAGGTCCTGCTGGCTGGGAGAGACTCCATTTTCCACTTGTGGTGTGTTTGGGTTTTCCAGTGCCCATCATTGATCCCAGAGCTCACAGAACCAGAGACCACCGGGATCACTCAGAGCTTCACTTGGACTTACTGAGCAGGGTTTGAGGGCAGCTCTGTCATGGACTCTATTTATTGTCCTGCTCACAGTGGACATAAGCGATTATATTGTTTAATTGTTGTTAATCAACTCCTCTGAGGATCATGGGAAATAGAAGTAAATCATAAAACACCTTACCCCCACCTCTCCCTTCTCCAAAGGCTCAGCTTCCCTCCCAGATTCTCCACCTCCTCCCCCACAGCTGTGCAGGAGGATGGGCAATGGGGGTTGTGCTCGGTCCATCACCCCTTGTCTCTGCTGCTCCCTCCTCCTCCTTCTCCTCCTCCTTCTCCTCCTCTTCCTCTTCCCCTGCTCTAGTGTGGGGCTCTTCCCAAGGGCACCAGCCCTCCAGGAACCCCCACCATGGATGGATCCCTGGAGTTCTGCCTGAGCTGCTCCAGCCTCAGGTGCTGCCAGGAGCCAGCCCTAGCACAGCACAGGCTGAGAGCTCCCTCAGGGCACATCCTCCTGCTCTGCTCAGGGTCCTCCAGGGGCTGCAGCTGTGTCTCTGCTCCCCGTGCACCTCCCTGGGCTGCAGGGGCACAGCTTGTGTTGCCATGGCCTCCCAAGGAACCTCTGCTCTCTTTTCACATAGGCGCAGGAGCACCATGTGAAACTATGATGATTAAAGCTAATTAATCTAGAAAACCTCAACAAAGGGTGTATCCATCACAGATCACTGGAAAAAGAGCCCAAGAACAAGGATGGGGTTGGAGTTGAGCTTTAAAGGCCTTTCAGCCTAAGCTATTCCATGACTCTAGCAAAGCCTGGTGGCAGCCCCACAATTCTTAAGGCTGGCTGGTGACTCTGCCAGAACCCAGGACAGCCCCAGCTCTCTCTGTACATCACCAGTACATTCACCAAACCCACATCAATCCAAGTTAGTGGGGAAAATGTTTTGAGGGACTGTGTCAAAAGCCTCACAGAAGTCCAGGCAGGTGCCATCAACAGCTCATCCTTTATCTGCTGATGGAGTCACCCCATCATGGAAGGCCAGCAAGGGGTGGGTTTGCCCTCTGAGAGGCTGAGCTGGCAGGCCTTGATCACTCCCATGCCTGGGAACTATCAGCATTGTGCTGGGAGTGGTGTCATCCCCCAGGACATGTCTGTCCCAGCTCTGCAGCTCCTCCCGAGGGGAGGCGGAGGGGCAGGGGCTGAGCTCTGCTCTGGGACAGGGACAGGAGCCCAGGAAGGGCTGGAGCTGTGCCAGGGCTTGGGATGGATCTCAGGGCAAGGTTCTTCCCCCCGAGGCTGCTGGCACTGCCCAGGCTCCCCAGGGAATGGGCCCGGCCCCAAGGCTGCCAGAGCTCCAGGAGCGTTTGGACAGCGCTCTCAGGGATGCTCAGGGTGGGAATGTTGGGGTCTCCTGGTTAATGCCAGGAGTTGGACTGGATGATCCTTGTGGGTCCCTTCCAGCTCAGGATATTCCAGGATTCTGTGTTCCTGTGATTCCATTTAACACCTATCCTTGATTTTGCAAAGGCGCTGTCAAGGAGGCTGAGTGGCAACAGGGATCACCCCTGGGCTATTGGTCCTTGGAGCTGGTTATCCTTGGAGCTGGATATCCTTGGAGCTGGTTATCCTTGGAGCTGGATATCCTTGGAGCTGGATATCCTTGGAGCTGGATATCCTTGGAGATGGATATCCCTGGTTTTCCCTCTAAAGGTGGAAGTGCTGCCCTGAGGTGCCCGTCCCCTCCCAACTCCCGACAGGAGCCTCAGTGAAGGGTGTGCTTTTTAATGTCAGTAATAATAAAATATTTTTACAGAGCCCAAAAAATTCAAAATAGTGCAAAACATCTCACTGTCATGCATCCATGGGAGCCGCCGCCGTGGGCGGGACAGACACACAGGCATCGGTGACACTGTGCTACAGGAGCAGAACTGGTCAGGTCAATCTCATGCCAAACAGGACAGTCTGGGGAGGGGCACAGGCCCGGGGGCACCACGGTTGGGCTGCGGGGCCGAGCCCCAGCCTGGCTGTGCAGGGGCAGCCGGTAGAAAAAGGGTGTAAACATTGAACAGAAACGAGAGAAAAGTGAAACCCTTTGGTCCCAGGCAAACCCTCTTGACAAAGGAGCGTGGGGGCCAGCGGGGGTACCCTGTTTTGGGACGGGAGGGGGCTGAGAGAGCTGTATTGACTTGGGGGGTCATTAGGCCTCTGTCTGCCCCAGGACTCGGGGCAAACTGGCCAGCTGGGGTGGCCACCCCAACACGACACACCCAGGCCTCCCAGGCACTCACACGAGACATGCACACCACTTGGCACACAGAAATGGTGCTCACTGGGGAACTGGGGGCACAGAACTGGTGCTTACTGGGGGGCTGGAGGAAGGGCTACTCTGGGGTGGGATGGGAAGGGTTTTGCTTGCGCCAAGGAGATCCCATGGGCTGCACTGCTCAGGGAGGCTGGTCCCCACCGGCCAGAGCGAAGAGGAATGAGTCCCTCTGCTCTGGTGCCCCCAGCCCCTGCCTCCCCAAGCCCTGGCACCTTGTGGGGGGCAGTGGGGTAGCCCACGGTGGCAGCAAGGCAGGGAAGACAGGATATGGGCCGGGGGCTGCTCCCGACCCTGGTGATGCTGCTGCCAGCCAGGGAGGGGACCCTGTGCAGGGCCTGTGGGGGCTGCACCCGCCAACCCAACAGCCCCAATAGCCCTTCCGGGTGCAGGACACAGCCTGTCCAGCTGCCCTGTATGTACAGCTATTTACATATGTACACAGATGTGCTCAGGGCTGGCAGCTGCCCTGCCCTCAGGACACACCACGACGCTCAGGGATGGGGACAAGGGGCCATCACACTGTGCCAGCCACTCACCACCACCCACACATGGCACGAGACACACACACCCTCCGCAGCCCTTTCCTTGTGGCACTCGGTGAGGTTTGGGGCTGGGTGGGACAGTGGAGGTTCAGGGATGGGCCACTGGGGTTCCTCCGTCTCAGACAGGCTGGGGAAGGGCGGATTGCTCCCCTCACCCAGGCTCGGCTCCAGCCCTTCCCTGCAGCCTGCCCAACCCCAGCACCTTCCTGCGGGGTGCGGCGGGGCCTGGCTGGGCTCGGCACGGCTGGCAGCCAGCCAGCGTGGCCAGGGAGGGATGGGAGGGTCTGTCACTGCAGCCACAGCACCCCCTCCCCAGGGCCGGGGCAGCGACCCCTCTGTGGCCACTCCTATGGCTTATCCAGGGCTAGAGGATTCTGTCAGGGGGCCGGGAGCGGGGAGCGAGGGCTGGGGGGCCAAGGGGCTTTAACTGCTGCCCTCCTCGGCCGAGCGCGTGTCCGACTTGAGCTTGACAAACTCCTTGGCCACCTCGTCGTTGTTGCGCTGGGAGAGGATGCGGAGCACGGTGAGCCCGGTGTCGTCCATGTGGATGCGGCGGCCCAGGGGCAGCCAGCAGGCGCAGCCGGGGCGCTGCAGGATGTCCCGGAGCTGCAGCACGGCGATGCCCACGGTGCGGTCCTCCCGGGCGAAGCAGTAATCCTTCACACACACCTGCAGCTCGTAGCACTCGGGGCCTGTCTCGGTCCCCAGCGTGCTGAAGGGGGCAAGGGACAGGCAGTGTTGGCAGGTGGGGTCACGCTGCACCCCTAGCCCGGCTGTCTAACAGCCCCCATGCCCCTAGAAAAGCCTTTTATTTCTAAGCTGCTCCCCTCTCCCAGCTTTTACCAATGAGAAAATACCTAAACATCCCATCGGGGATGAGCAAACTCCCTGGCAGACCCCAGGAGGTCCCCACGTGCTGGGGACACATCCCCCAGCCTGTCCCCACACCCCCAGCCCGTGGTGCCACTCACAACTGGAAGCTCTCGTTGTACTTGGGGGCCCAGCTGTTGTTCTTGGATTTGGTGGCAAATTTTCTCTTCTTGTCACTGAGGTGGGGCCCGATGATGTTGACCTCGATGAAGGGCCGGAAGATGCCCGAGGTCTGCCACTTGAGGTCATTGGCAGCCACCACTGCAATGAGGGGACAGGTGAGGCTCACAGAGCACTGTCACCTGCCCGACCCCAGCACCCTGGCCAGCAGAACCCACCTTTGACGGTGACTTTGTGCTCGCCACTGCTGGGGTGGGTCAAGAGCTCCACGTGGATAGACACCTCCCCAACGGGGTCATCCACACCAGAGCCTGTGACAGAGGGAGGAGATGGAAGTGCCTGTTTTCCCAATGCTCCTGACATGCCCTGCCCAACACTAACCCCACTGAGGAGGCAGGTCACCCACCGTGGGGTGGACAGGGGTGGGCGTTAGGGTGTGTCCCAAGGGGTTGTGGGCACAGCGCTGTGGGCGCAGCGGCTGTGATGGACATGGCAGGACACCCCCAGCAGCAGGCTGACTCTGCCATCCCACCCCTGTGAACCCCCCCTTGCCCAGGCAGGGCTGAGGGGCCTGTCCGGGATGGGGCAGAGGAGAGCGGCCCAGCTCCCCGTGCTCTGCAGGGGTGGCAGTGTCACGGGCACTGGGCAGGAGGGACCCGGCCAGGGCAGCCACAGCTCTAGCAGGGTCTCGAGGCTGACCTGCCCCCTCAGACCCCTCCATCCCAGGGACCACATCAAGCCCAGGGGTCCCCGAGCCTGGGGACCTCAGCCCACCCCACGCCACCCCAGAGTTGTGCATGCACCCATCGGTGAAGGATGGGGGTGCAAGGCAGAGGGTCAGGCTCTGTGGCTCTGATGGGGCCACAGGGATCCAACAGGGCTCAGTGACAAAATCTCAGGGTGGGAATAGCAGTGGAAGGAGGACAAGTCCCCACGTGTCACTGAGGGTGCCAGGCCGAGGCTGGCGATGGCACGTTCCCCTCCACCCCCCCGGCCCCCGCATGCTGAGCCGGGATGGAGGCGATGGTGGCTGGGGAGGGGGGTCTGGGCATGGAAGGCCAAGCAGGGGTGCAGCCCCGGCCCCCAGCGGGGTGTGATGGAGGCCAAGCAGGGCCCGTGGGGGGCTCATTCCCTGCGCCCCAGGACAGGCAGACGGAGCGCGCCGGAGCAGGGCTAGTAATGGTCCTTAGGGCAGCAGGGGGGGCAGGAAGGGCACAGGACGTGGCATGGCCTCCCCTAGGGCCACATGTCCCAGGGGGAGGTCACAGTGGGTGCCCACCCGCAGGCAGAAGTGCTGGGGACAATGTGGGGTGCCCAGAGCGTGCGGGCAGACACCCCTATTCCCATGGGGACAGCCCCCGACCCGCTCTGGGGGTGCTCAATATGGCTGAGCACAGTTCCTCCAAAATCCCCCCAAAGCAGCCCAGGGAGTGGCAGTTTGCCCATTCTGGGGGTCCCCAGGCCACCCCAGCCCGCAGTGCTGGGACTGTTACTAGCCCAGGCCGGCGGCAGGCAGGTGCAGGGGCGGGCGAGTAGCACACGTACCCTTCTCAGGATAAACCTCTTCACTAAGGGTAAACCTAATCCCTTTCCCACCATGAACTAGTGGGAAGGAGAGAGAAAGAGACAGAGACACGGCACAGAGTACACAAAGAGAGGAGGAAGGAGATGACAACGAAGAGAGAAGGAAGGAGATGCAAAAGAAGGGAGGAGGGTAGAGATGAAATAGAGAGGAAGAAGGAGATGAGGAAGAGCGGAGGGAGGAGATGACGTGTGTGGGGAACAGGAACAGTGGGAGGGGGGGGAAACAAAGAGAAAGAGAGATCAGATCTCGCAGACAGACTGGTGGCCAAGCACCCGGACAACACTGCAGCGACACAGGAGTGCCAGGCACCCCCAGCTCCGAGTGTGGGCTCCTGGGGACAGGGAACACCCAGGGGTGCTGGCACCCACCAGACCCAACCCCACGCCCCCAACATGGCTGGCACAGGAGGCACAGACACGACAGACGTCCCTTGAAGGAGACTCACGGACAGCAAACGCACGTCCCACTCCCCGAGGACGCAGACAAGCCTGGCTGGGGCACCCTGTGGTGGCCCATGACCACCTCCGACCATCTCAGGGCCCCCCTCCAGCAGCCAAGGGACAGAATAAAGGGCAGTGTTTAGAGCTGAGGGCTGATCCTGCCCTGGAAGGTGCCCAGCATCCTGCACTGCACCCCAGAGTCCAGATCAGGGGCTTGGGAACCTAGTACGGCCAGGACAGGCCCTGGCACAGCATCCGGATCTCTGTGACTGGTCTGTGCTGGGTGCCTGGGGCCACCCAGAGGGGACAAACACTGTGACACCTGGATGGAGTGTGATCTTCCCCCCACCCACAGGCCCCATTTCCATGCCTGTCCAGCAATGCTCTGGCCCTGGGGACCCACTGTTCTTGCTGGTGGGGGACTGGGGAGTGCCAGGCTGATGCTGTTGGGCACCCATGGCCCCTCTTCACCTGCAAAGCACAGGAGGAAAAAACCCTTCCTTCCCCACCCATCTCCCCCCCGCCCCGTGAGCCTGACTGGGACCCCCAGCCCCAACTGAGACAGAGCCAAGGTGGATCCTGGTCATGGGGCAGCCGAGCCCCTGGGGAGGGCCCAGCAGGTGCCAGGGCAGCGTGTCCTACCCTGCGACGACTGGGTCTGCACGAAGGTTTTGATGAGGAGATCGGTGGCCTGGGTGTAGAGGGACAGGGCGTAGCGCAGTGACTGCAGGTCAGGGCTCTTCTCCAGGAAGGTTTTCTTCAGCCCCACACCACCGGCATGGAAGTATTGCTGGAGGGGGAAAGGCCTCGGGATGCTCAGCAGCTCTGTGAGGGTCCCCCAGATGCTCCCCGTGACCTCAGGGTCAGAGCCCCAGGGGCACCCCAAACACCCCAGAGTGCCCTCACCTTGATGGTGTCCAGTGCCAGCTCCACCACAGCACACTGCTTCGGGGTCAGGCTCTTAGCTTCCTCACGCACCATGTGGTCCTGGGGGACACAAATCCTGCACTCAGCACGGGACCAGGACCCCGCTGCCCAGCCCAGCTCAGCCCAGCTCAGCAAGGGGGCAGTGCTGGGGTCCTGGCAGCAGTGGCACTGGCAGCCAGCCTAGAACAGAGAGCAACCCAGCATCCCCAGCCCTCTCCTTCAGCTCAGTGACCCCCAGCCCTCACCTTCAGCTTGGAAAGCTGCCCCAGCTCCTTGGCCGCGTTGAAAATCATCTGTGTGCCCTGCAGAGAGCAAAGAGACAGGGACAGCCCCGGTGAGCAGCCGGGCTGGGGGTGGCATGGCCAGGCTGGGCACATCGTGCCAGAAACTTGCTGCAGTTCCAGAGGCTGCTCCAGGGGACAGCAGCCAGGAAGGTGACACAGGTACCAGGCCAGCAGCCCTGTCTCAGCTCGAGTTCTCTGCACAGCTGTGAGGCTGCAGGCTTGGGGACCCCAGGGCAGGACGTCACCCCGGCATCAGGGGCCTCATGCTCTGCTCAGCACAAGCAGCTCGGCCCAAGAGTCCCATCCTGCTTCCCGTGCTCCAAGCACCTGCTCCTGCATCCAACAGGGCCTGGCACAGCACGGCACTGACCACTCGGACATCGGACACGGTGGGAGCAGAGAGCGAGCGTGAGGGACAGCGGGCACAGGGAGGATGTGGCCTCTACCCCACAGCCACCAAACAGCCCCCGGCCACACAGAGCCCTGCCCAGTCCCAGGGAGGTTCCCAGCCCCTTGGCACTCCAGGGAGTCCCCCAGGTGGGAGACCTGGGCTGCCTTTGCCTGACCTGTGCCCCCACCACGGCAGGGGCCATGGAGCCAATCCGTGGGGCCCATGGGCACAGCAGCCCCTTGGATGGGTAGATCCCACTCACTGCCCTGGGCTGGCACCTCTGACTGGGCTGAGCACAAGAACTCCTCCTCAACTCCTCCAGTGTGCAAATGCAACGGGATAAATTGGGGCCCAGAGACCTCCACCACCTTCCCAGCACCAGCAGTTCCAGTCCTTCCCAACACAGAAACCTCGGCATCTCTCCCATTAACCAGCACCTTCTGCAGGGGTCTGCCCCCTCCATGCCCTCATTTTGTATGCCACCGTTTTACCCTTTGTGCCCATCCCTCTGCCCATCCAGTTCTGTCCCATTAATTCCACCCTCACTGTTCCCATCTCCCCCAGTCAGTGGACAGGCTGGTATCTGGGGACACTGGCGTCCCCAAAACAGAGCACAACAGGACACTGGACTGAGCTGGAAGCCCCCAAGCCAGAGCACAAGGGACAGGGAGGAGGGAAGGGGAGAGAGCAGTGCCAAGTGGGGAGCAGAAGAGCCATGTCCTTACTTCAGTGTGACTGGGCAGCTTCACCCTGCTCTGGAAGAGAACAGCAAGGGACAGTTACTGGTGGCCCCAGCAGCATTTGGCCGCAGCTCCAGGTCCCCCACATCCCCTGGCCACGAGAGCTCTCCCTGTACTCTCCTCTGGTTCTGCCCAGTTCTCTGCTGGTGCCGCTGGTTCTGCACCAGTTCACAGCTGCAAAGGCTCAGCCCCACGCTCACGCTGCTGGAGCTGTGCTGAGTGTGCCAGGTCTCTTCTGAGGACAGGCAGGTTTGCTCCCCACCCCATTTGGGGCTGGGAGATCAGAGGGAATCAGCTCACCCAGCACACTCAGCAAACCGGGCAGGAGCCAATGTCCCCCAGGAGAGGAGGGGGAGCGGCAGGCATTGCCCAGATGGATGCTGGCATGGCTCTTCCCAAGAACCAAGATCTGGGGAGCAGGCTGGGGGCAGTGCCGAGCCCCCACCCTGGGATGAGGAGTCCCCAGACAGGGCAAGAGCCCATGTGCTGGAGGATGCCCTTGGAGCAGGGCTGGGGCTCAGCAAGGACAGGGGAGCGGGCTCAGAGATCCGGGGGATCTCAGCAGCCCCGGGGCCCTCACTGTACCCAGCATGGGGTGCCCCCTCTTCCTGAGCCCCCCACAGTGGGATGGGCTTGTGTGGAGGGTCTCCCATGCACAACCCCTCGCTGGGGCTGAGGGCTGAGGGGCAGTGTCCCCCACGGGGATGGGTGACACCCCAAATCCACCCACGGGGACTAAACACCACAGAGACCCCGCTCCCTACCCCGGGGACACACAGAACTGGGGCTGTCCCCAGCACACAGCACAGCACACCTCACCACAACACCACGCAGGCAACAGCACATCCAGACAGCACGACAGAGGAAGCACGGACAAGCCTGGACCTCCACAGCAGGCGGGTGTGAGACCACAAGTGTGGCCCCGGGGTGGTGACACACACGGAGCCCACAGCTATTTACCTTCTCTGTCCCCTTGCCATGTTTTCTCAAGAGCGTGCCCTGTAGAAGCAATGTCAGAGGTTGAGTGGGGGGGTGGGGGGACAGCATGGGACAGGACACAGGGGCACAGGTGGCAGAGACATCACGAGCTCCTGAAGGACAGCCAGTGGGGGACTGGTCCCCATTCTCAGTGAGGGCCTGGTGTCATCAGGGTGCTGGATCCCCACTGGAAAGCAGGATGTTGCACTGCTGGAGAACTTGTCCTCACAGTGGGAAACTGCTGGGATGAAGGGATGCTGAATCCATGAAGCATGATCCTTGCTGGAATACAGGATCCAGCTGTGTGTGGGCAGGCTCTGGTGCCCCCACACATCCTGCTTCAGCTCTGGCAGGTGCTCCCAGCACTGGGGAGGGAGCAGGGAGGGAGTAGCTGGGATTTGGCATTGGCACACAGGGCTCTGGTTTGTGCAGGGCTGGGCCCAGTGGCAACCCCACACTGATCCAGGCAAGAGAAACTGTGAAATGAGGCAGCAGTGCCGTGTGGGAGTATGAACTCGGCTCTCAGGGTGGGCTGTTGGAATCAGGAGAGGGGAGCACGGAGTCAGCTGGCTGGGAAGCCTCAGAAGGAACAAGCAGCACAGGTAGGGCCAAGCAGGGCTGCCAGGAGGGGCTCTGGCCCTGGCACAGGGTGATGGGTGAACAAGAGCAGCTTGTACCACACAGAGCTGACACTGCTCTGTCCCCCAGAGCCTCAGCAAAGCTGGGACATGGAGTCCCCACGAGGCCCCCGTGAGTTCCTCATGAGGTTCCCACGAGGTCTGAGGGGACACTCAGCCTCAGGCTGCCCCCAAGGCCTCTCCAAATGCTGCTGTTGGACACAAAAGGTGCTGGGGAACAGCAGAGGGGTGCTTGTTCCTGCAGGGATTAGCACCAGCACCCAGCAGCTGGTCCCACCGCTCTTCCTGCACAGGTGCCCGAGTCACAGCAGGGGTGGGGACAGGACTGGAGGGGAAATTGCCCTTCCCTTGCCCCCGGGGGCATAAACCAACAGCCACAGACTGGTCAGAAGAGGACAGAAGGAAACTGCTCAGTCAAAGCCATGCAAGGACCCAGCAGCGATGCCGAGAAGGGAACCAGGAGTCCAGGTTCCCAGGGTCACATCCCGACCAGGGAAGAGCCTCACAACTTGTGCCAGCAGCCTGCCCCGACACCGAGCACCCGGACCAGGGACCGCCGAGTCCCCTCGAGAGACTCCTCCTCCTCCTCCTCCTCCTCCTCCTGGCAGGGAAAGCCTCTGCCCTCACCCCCACCACAGCCAGACCCCAGCCAGGGCCTGGAGGGGAAACTGAGGCAGGAGGGACAGAAGAGCATCCCTGACTCCAGGCACGCACCGCTCCCTGCTCGTGCCTCCCGCGGTATTTGTCCCCTCAGCACGGAGCCCTGGCTTGGCAGTCCCTGATGACACGGCACTGCCATCACCGCCCCCTCCCACCCCACAACCTCCCCTCGTCCCTCCCCACATCCCGGCACTGCCAATCTGTCCAAGAGCTCTCCACCCACCACATCCCCGAGGGGCCGCTGGCATGTGCCAGGCAGGGCTGGGGACCAGGAGCTGGACCAGGTCAGGAGCCGAAGGAGGGTGTGGGCAGGGCACGGGCAGCCACACAAGACAAGAACCGGCGAGGCCAGGACCGACACAGAGCGGACAGACAGACAGACAGACAGGGAGCTGCCGTACTTACAATCATCTGCCATTGAGAGGCGAGAGGAGCAATTGGAGAGAACAACCGTGACGTGAGTGTCGGCCCCCGCCTCCTCCATCCTCCCCAGTGCCAGCCCTGGCTGCCCCCCACCCCCGCAGGGCCACGAGTGTCCCCCATGCACAGCACTCGGTGTCACTGCCCTGCCACTGCACCGCAGGCTCCACAGCCCCCGAGGGGCCCCATCCTCACCTGCCCAGTCCCTTCTGACTCTGGGGGGGCTTTGCCTGAGGGGGGCTCAGTTCCAGGGACCCCTCTCGGCACCTGGCTCTGACATGGACCCCCAAACTGCCAACCTGCCCCGCATGCTGGCACCCAGGGACACCTGGGCAGGTTGTCCCCTGCCCCAGGGACCAGTCCCAGCAAACCTTTTCCAGGGATTGTCTGCCCTCATGAAAATCACCCAACAGAGCTACATGTCCATGCACCCTCCTCTGCCCTAGCACGGACCCCAGTGCCTCCAGAGCATGGCTGGAAAGAGACTGGGATGGGGACTGGGATGGGGACTGGGACGGGGACTGGGACTCAGTGGCACCAGCCTTCCTATGAGATTTGGCCACCTTTGGCCAAGGGTGTGTGAGCCCGGTCAGGAGTGATGTGGGGCTGACCTGAGGCAGGCTCAGGGCTGTGACACAGTGGCACAGGCACCACTGAGGGCTGACATGTCACCACTGTGCTGTCCCTCACAGACACAGCACAGGAGCTCCACAGCCCCAGAAAGGTGACAGAGGCTGACAGCTCCAGGAACTCCAAGGAAGAGCCTGAGCCCAGCTTTGTAATGGTGACGAAAGCCACCAAAGAGTGACAAGAACAGGTATGTGGCTGGTCAAGAGCACTCAGTGTCACCCTTTCCTGCCTGACTTTGAAGGAACCACCTCAGAAAGCTGCAGGTGCAGGAGTGGCAGACAAACAGCAATGTGATATGGAGCCTCAGAGAGGGACCATTCCCTGGGTTTGCTCTGCTTTCCTAAACCCCCCACAGGAGCAAGGAATTGCTCAGCCCTGCTGGGGAATATGTCCCCCCATCCTCATGAAACCCCCAGCCCCTCAGCAAGGCCAACAGGCAGCATCTCCCCACACTCCAGGAGCCTCTGGATACACCTGGCACAGGGAGCATGCCCACAGCCAGCGTGGATGAGTGTGGCATGGGATGCTGTCCCAGCTCCGAGGGAAGGATGGATAAGAAAGGGCCAGTGTCCCCACTTCATGCCACAATGGAGGTGGCAGGAAGGTCCTTTGGCAACGCCGACCAAGAAGGTCCTGGAGCAAGGATGACCTGTCTCTTTTCCATCCTCTCCCTGGCCAGCAGCGGGACACAGGTTTGGAGACACCAATGAAGTCCCCACCCTCTCACATGCCAGTGAGGGCACCTGGCCAGCAGTGTCCCCACACTGGTCCCAGTCAGTCACCTGTGCCTCAGGGTCCCTGGTCTCTCTCCCCATCACTCACCGTCTGGTCTGTGAGTGGGGGTAGGACGATGGTCTTCTCCATGGTGTTCATCACCAGCTTCCAGAGCTCCTTCAGCACCCGCTTCAGCACCGTCTTCTCGCAGATCTTGGCAAAGAGCGTCAGGCTGCACAGAGGAGACAGCGCTTGTGTCACCCCTCCGGTGTCACCCCAGCACTGCAGGTCCCTCACACTGCCTGCCAAGGCCAGGAGGGGCAGGGTGGGGTTCCAGTTGCCCCCCACGCTCACTTGCTGTCCAGCAGGTCCATGATGGGCTGCAGGACATTGTCAGCGTCCTGCGCGACGCTGCTGCAGGTGCTGGCGGGGACGTTGCCGGTGCCCTTCACCTGGCTCAGGATGTCACCCATCTGCTTCACACACTCCTCAATGTGTGGCTGGAAACTGGAGACCACAACACACAGGCAGCTCAGCATATCCCCCCAGGGCCCCTGGCCTGGCCCCAGCCACAGCTTCTGGAGCCCCAGACCTCTCCTTTGCCCACTGCCCTTCCCTTCACCCAGCTGTACCTGGTGGCAAAGACTCGGCTCAGATCATCCAGGACATTGTTAAGTTTCACCTGCAGTTCCTTGAGGATATCACTGGCTTCTGTGTCCAGCTGCAGGAGGGACAAGTTGTTGAAGCTGACAGGGTCCCTGAACCAGCCCTCAGGGAAGTTTCTGCATCCCAAATGCATCCCTGGGCAGGGTGAAGCCTTTCCCCATCCGATATGGTGGGAAAGCTGCGTGCCATGGGGCGGGACAGCGTGATCCCACACAGGAGTGAGGAATGAGTGTGCTCCCAGCACTGGGCAACTGGGCAAGGGGCTACCTCTGGGGGGAAGGGAACGATCCAACCCCTCACAGGGCTCCCTCCTGGAACCCTCCCATACTCACATCCTTCCCACCCATGGCTTCAAACATCTTCTCAAGCTGGACACGGAGCTGCTGGATGTTGTTCATCAGGATGCAGGGCTGGAGGGGAGAGATGGAAAGGGGGGTCAGCACCAAGAAATATGCCTGGGACTGCTGCCCCCAGCCCCAGTACCCTCCCACCTTGCGCTGGGGGACTTGAGGACAGGGATGGCACAGAAGCCCTGGCAGTGTGTCAGGAACTGCCATCAGGAAAGGACCAGTCCACACTGGGGCTGAGGTGACAGCTGGAGTCACCATGTGGGGACAGCAAAAAGGAGATACATCACCACTTTCTCTTTCTCCTTGGAGCAGTACGAGGCAAAATCCTTGGAGATGATCTCAGCGTACTGGAGCAGCACATTGCTGATGGTCTGCAATCAAACAGGGCACCAACAAAGGCACCCAGGCAGCAGCAACAAAGGGGAAGGAGGGAGAGAAAGAAAACATGAGTCCCACAGCAGTGAAACAACCTCATATCTGGATACATACAGGGAGCCCCAGACCCTCTGGTCTCATGGATCATGGAATCATTAAGGTTGGAAAAGCCCTATAAATTCAAGTCCAACCATCAACTCAGCACCACCGCCATGTTCACCACTAAACTGTATCCTTAAGTGCCACATCCACATGCTTTTTAAATGCTTCCAGGGACAGTGACTCTACTGTGCCAAGACTGGACAAACCTTTCAGTGAAGAAATTTTACCAACATCCAACCCTCCCCTGGAACAACTTAAGGCCATTTCCTCTCCTCCTGTCCCTGTTCCCTGGAAGCAGAGCCTGACTTTCCCCCTGGCTGTCCCCTCCTGGCAGGGAGTTGTGCAGAGCCAGAAGGGCCCCCTGAGCCACCTTTTCTCCAGGCTGAGCCTCCCCAGCTCCCTCAGCTGCTCCTGCTACTCCAGTCCCTTTCCCAGCTCTGTTCCCTTCTCTGGACACGCTCCAGTCCCTCAATGTCTTTCTTGTTGTGAGGGGTCCAAAACCGACCCCAGGATTTGAGGTGGGGCCTCAGCAGTGCCCAGCACAGGGGGACAGTCACTGCTCTGGTCCTGCTGGCCACACCATTGCTGGTACAAGCCAGGTGCCATTGCCTTCCTTGCACACCTGGGCACATCTGGCTCATGCACCAGGAGCCACATGGGCACAGCCACTGGAAGCCAGATCCAGCACAACTGCAAAGGCAGCAGCCACCAAGCCTACATGCAACTCCCTCCTATATTGCAGCAAGCCAGCTTTACTTAATCTATATTAATTAAGCAAATAACTCATCAATTAGCTCATAATTAATTAATCTCCTGTGCTAGGAGAGCTGGGAGCATCCCAGGGTGTGTTGGTGGCATATTGGCTGCCCACAGCTGGATGGAGTGGGCACAGAGAGCCCAGGAGCCCCAGCCAGGGCTGGGACTGGGGTCCCAGGGCAGTGCTGACCCCTGCCCTGGCAGGTGCCCACCTTGGCAAACCGTCGCATGTAGTGCCCCACAATCTGGGGATCGGGGCACTCCAGCTTCTTGATGATCTCAAAGCTCTGGTTGAGCTGGGAGAAAACGTCCACCACAGAGCAGGAGAAGAGCGCATGCTCCGAGGTCTGCTGGAACTGTGGGAGTGAGATGAGGTGTCAGCAGGATGTGTGGGGAAGGTTTTGGCCCCAGTCAGGACATACAGGGCATCAAGGGACAAGCCCCTCGCCTCTGAGGCCGTGTCTCTAGTTCTGTTCGTACCCCATCCTTCTTGTCCCGCTCCAGTGCTCCGTGCAGGAAATCCCGTGACACCTCTTCGTTCTCATCCAGCCACTGGATGACAAAAGGCTCGAACCAGCTGAAAGAGAGACCCAGCTGTGGTGAGGCCAGCAGCCCTCGTGGTGCCAGTCCCCCTCCCCAGCCCCAGGGCTGCACTCACGCAGGGTACTCGGGCACACGGCTCTTGAAGGAGGGCAGCTCGGTGACGTACTCGTTGTACAGCCACTTCACCTTGAAGTGCAGGTTCATGTAGTCTGCGCTCTTGCACAGCCGGTGCTTCTCATGCTCTGCAGGGGGAAAGGGTATGGGGGTCACTCTGAGTCCCAAATCTGGGGTGTGGCTCCCCAAGGGCACCTCCAGGGTAACAGGGTGAAGGTGGAAGGGCCTCTGGAGGGGGAGGGTTTAAGCTACGCATGGTGTTGAGGAGATTAAATGGGTCTGCCTAGGGAACAGGTGAGGTGTGAGCTGAGGACAGCTCCTGCCTGGTTCCCCCCTCTCTGGCTCAGGGTGCCAGGTGGGACTCACCCTCCATCGCATACTTCATGTCCTGAGCAAAGAGGTTCCACATCACCTCAGCACTGATCTTCCCCACATTCAGTTCCTGGGGGAACCTGGGGCAAGGGGAGAGTGTGAATCACAGAATCCTTTAAGGTGGAAAAGACCTCCAAGGCCATCAAGTCCAACCTGTGAATGATCTCCTTGTAACCCAGCCCAGAGCACCGAATGACAGATCCAGGCCTTCCTTGGACACCTCCAGGGGTAGCAACTCCAAACCTCCCTGGGCAGCCCCATCCAATGTCTGACCACCCTTTCTATGAATTTGTCCTGATATCCAACCTGAACCTCCCCTGGCAGAGTTTGAGGCTATGAACACAGTGTGAATCAACCACATGGACAGACATCCCTCACACACCTCCCAGCAGCCTCAGCTTTCCCATCTGTAGAATTGATGTTACAACCACTTCCAAAGGCCTCAAGATCCCACTGCCTCCATGTGGGCACCCTCTGTGGGCACAGCAGCATCCCCTTCCCCAGCATCTACTCACTGGTTCAGGCAGGGTGTGTAGGAGTTCTTGTCTTCCTCGATAATGGAGACAATCAGGGTGATGAGCTTGGACCAGAAATCCAGGTTTTTGATGCTGGGACCCTGCTCCTCAGGGGGCACCTCGCCTTTCTTAGTCTGGAGGGGCAGGGACACAGTGGAGACTTCGGTCACCCCAATGCAGGGCTCAGCTTTGTGTCAGGGCTAACAAGGGGGCAGGAGGGAATACCCTGGAGGCCCCATGCAGCCCCCTCTTGTCTGTCTTGATCTCAACTCCAAGGCCTGGGAATCATTCTGCATGGACTAAGCACTCTGGAGAGGGAGCAGGAGCACGAGGAAAAGGAGAAGGGCATGGGATGGGGAGGTCAGTGCCTGGCATCCCCCCTGCCCCACGCACCGGGTCTGTCTGGTACTCGCGGCTGTAGAGCTCATGGCAGTTGTTGAAGATGTACTCATAGGTGGAGTTGAGACAGGCCTTCACACAGTCCTTCACCACCTGGCTGGCTCGTGGGGGGCTCTGCAGCTCCTGGACCTGGTGTGCAGGGAGGGCAGGGTGTTTGGAGCACCCCCAGACACCCACCCAGGAACACCATGGGCCAGCACAACCCCAACCCCCAGAGAACCAGGGCCAAAGAGAGTCAGATGCCCTGAGGGACAGGGGGAGTGGGGCCCCAGCAGTACCTTCATCCGAAAGAAGGTGATGCTGGTCAGCAAATCCACTGTGGACTTCAAGTCCTGCAGCCGTTCAGGGCTGCTGGCAGGGAAGTTGTTCTGGCAAGGAAAGGAAAAGGAAATTTTTGTCCTCAAAATTCACAGAGGCAAGTGAGGGTGAGGGAACCGGTTGCTTCAGGTAGGGCCACTGAGGCAAGGCAGGCACCTTACCCGGTACATGGAGAGGTCGATGCGCAGGGAGTTGTGTAGCTGGTCCAGGAGTTTGACAAAGCGATCTTTCTGCGGAGAAACGCCCCAGGGGCAGGTGAGCAGGGGAAAGGTGGCAGGCACTGACCCCCCCTGCCCTTGTCTCTCATCTTCCTTCCCTCCTTTCCTTTCCTCCCTTTCTTCCTTTTCCTTCCTTCCTTCCTTCCTTCCTTCCTTCCTTCCTTCCTTCCTTCCTTCCTTCCTTCCTTCCTTCCTTCCTTCCTTCCTTC